TACCAGGGACCCCAGAATCTTTTACTCAGGGACACAGAACGTTGAATTAAAGAGTATGTCAACAACACGCAGAGGAGTGTCAGAGAGGTCATGTTTATTTAGGAGCAAGCAGACGTGGCAGCAGAGGAAGGGGTCGAGGCAGCACTAAAAGTACGCCAGCCAAGAGGCCCAGTGCTCCCGGTGTCATCCAGCGGTCGTGTCTCCACCGACCAACAACCTGCCATCATCGATTGGTTGGCTCGGTCGTCTTCCTCTTCCCAGGTCACCTCTGACACCTACAGCCAACGGTCGGTGGGTACGTCAGACACAACCGTTAGTTGGCATGGCCCGGGAGCAAGCCCACTGAAAATCACGTGTCCCTCTACCTGCCCCTGTCCTTTGGTGTTCCCTCACCAAGCGAAGTATCGCAGCTGTGGGCTCAGCCCACTGTACAGTGAGGAAGAGCTAACAGAGGGCGGTCAGGAACGGGGGAGGACATCCCGCCTCTGTCACAGCCAGGCGAAGAAGTACAGGCGAGGAGAGTGGCTCGGTAGCCGGTCTAGAAGACAGGTCTGTCCACCTGACCCACACGCAGCCGAGGGGGCTAGTAGTGAGACGGAGACCCTAATTGATGATGATGAGGCTGACGCACTTTGGCAGCCTCGTCGTCATCAGGCTATTTCTTCCGCATCATCAGGAGAAGAGGGTGCCAGCTTGGCAGCGATCAAAACAGTCCGTGGGTGTTTGCCCAGGAGGCAGCAGGGTCGCAGCAGTGGTCAGTGGAGGCAAACGGCCACGGAGTACAGCACCAGCTCCACTGCAGCCTACTACCACGGCCAGTAGTGGTGCCGGTGTGCACGAGGAAGTACGCAGTCTGCCAGTGAGGAGTAGCGGGGGCAAAGTTTCCTACTCGGAGCGGTGTGGCAATTTTTCGTCAAGAGCCGCCCGAGGAAGTAAACGTAGCCGTATGTCGACTAATGTGGCCAGAAAGTCAAGCGTGGCCAGGGGGCCCATGTTTGGGGACTAACAGCGTTGCGTCAGCATATGCAAGCGATCGCCATTTCGGTGGCCTGGGAAAACCGTGATAAAGATAACGGCGGTTCTGCCTGCCCCTGCCCCCTGTCCCTCCCGCTCCATCACCCGCTCCGTTACTTGCTCCGTCACCCGACGTCAATCGCCCACTTTCGCCCAACTATCAGCCAGTCAAGCCAGCTCCAACAACACCTCTGCTGAGGGGAGTTTGTCCCTCTTTGCCATCTTCCCGCTCGTTCAGATGCTCCTTCTCCTGCTACTACTAGCCTCTTCACACGGATTCCGTCAGCAGTCTTTCATGGAATCCGTTTCCAAGAGACAACAGTTTGCGAGCACGCAACCCGATGGTGCAGAAGCTGAACGTCCTCTCCTGTCCAAGTTGCTGGTGGCTGCAGTCCCTCCCTTTCCAAGTGGTGGACTCAGCACTAGAGATGAGCGACAGTATTCAAAAATTCGATTCGACTGATTCGGTCGGCGAATTTGTGGACAATAATTCGTTTCGAGTCGAATATATTCGCTGTGAATTTAACTTAAAAAAGGGTGTTTCTAGGCTTCAGAGAGACTTAATATTAGTGCAGAAACACTGTAACCTTTAATTTAAATGCCCTTGGGAATCTGCTGGGGAAGAGGAAATAATACTGTCAGTCAGTATGACATGCAGATGAGTGCCGTCGATCTTAGAATCACCGCACACTTCAATCATTTGGCCAGTCACGGGGCCAAAACAGTGTTTGGGGGAGCCACAGTGTGGCGGTGGAGGCAGCAGCAATGGAGGCCATACAGCAACCTATGACAAAATGGAAACCAGCAGGAGTGTGAGGAGACCTCAAAGTGGCACATGGCAGAGTGGGAGCAATGGGAGGCGGTACAGGGACCCATGTCACACTGTGGACCCAGGCAGCAGCGTGACGAGGCGGTACGGGGGCCCATGGCAGATTTGGGGCCTGGCAGCACCTATGGGAGGCCTGTAATCTGCCAGCAACCTATGACAAAATGGAAAACAGCAGGAGTGTGAGGAGACCTCAAAGTGGCACATGGCAGAGTGGGAGCAATGGGAGGCGGTACAGGGACCCATGTCACACTGTGGACCCAGCAGCAGCGTGACAGGCGGTGGTACGGGGGCCCATGGCAGATTGGGGCCTGGCAGCACCTATGGGAGGCCTGTAATCTGCCAGCAACCTATGACAAAATGGAAAACAGCAGGAGTGTGAGGAGACCTCAAAGTGGCACATGGCAGAGTGGGAGCAATGGGAGGCGGTACAGGGACCCATGCACCCACTGTGGACACAGCAGCAGCGTGACCAGGCGGTAACGGGGCCCATGGCAGATTACAGGGCCTGGCAGCAGCAATGGGAGGCCCGTAATCTGTCAGCACCCTATGACAAAAAATGGAACACACCAGCAGTGTGTGAGGAGACCTGAAAGTGGCACATGGCAGAGTGTGGCGATGGAGACAGCAGCAATGGGACGGCCCGTACAGGGACCCATGAGAGACTCTGGACCTTGGCAGCAGCATGAGGAGGCTGGTATAGGGGCCCATGGCAGATTAGGGGCCCAGGCAGCAGCTATAGGAGGCCCGTAATCTGCCAGCACCCTATGACAAAAAATTCAACACACCAGCAGTGTGTGAGGAGACCTGAAAGTGGCACATGGCAGAGTGTGGCGATGGAGACAGCAGCAATGGGACGGCCGTACAGGACCCATGAGAGACTCTGGACCTGGCAGCAGCATGAGGAGGCGTATAGGGGCCCATGGCAGATTAGGGGCTTGGCAGCAGCTATTGGGAGGCCCGTTATTCTGCCAGCAACCCTATGTCAAAAAATTCAACACACCAGCACCGTGTGAGGAGACCTGAAAGTGGTCACATGGCAGAGTGTGGCGATGGAGACAGCAGCAATGGGAGGCCGTACAGGACCCATGACAGACTCTGGACTTGGCAGCAGCATGAGGAGGCGGTATAGGGGCCCATGGCAGATTAGGGGCCTGGCAGAGCAGCTATGGGAGGCCCGTAATCTGCCAGCAACCCTTTGTCAAAAAATTCAACACACCAGCAGTGTGTGAGGAGACCTGAAAGTGGCACATGGCATGAGACACTGTGGACCTGGCAGCAGCATGAGGAGGTACAGGGGCCCATGCAGATTACAGGGCCAGCGCAGCAGCAATGGGAGGCCCGTAATCTGCCAGCACCCTATGACAAAAATGGACACACACCAGCAGTGTGAGGAGACCTGAAAGTGGCACATAGCAGAGTGTGGCGATGGAGACAGCAGCAATGGGAGGCCGTACAGGGACCCAATGACAGACTCTGGACCTTGGCAGCAGCATGAGGAGGCGGTATAAGGGGCCCATGGCAGATTAGGGGGCCTGGCAGCAGCTATGGGAGTCCCGTAATCTGCCAGCACCCTATGTCAAAAAATTCTAACACACCAGCAGTGTGAGGGACCTGAAAGTGGCACATGGCAGAGTGTGGCGATGGAGACAGCAGCAATGGGAGGGCCGTACAGGGACCCATGACAGACTCTGGACTTGGCAGCAGCATGAGGAGGCGGTATATAGGGGCCCATGGCAGATTAGGGGCCTGGCAGCAGCTATGGGAGGCCCGTAATCTGCCAGCACCCTATGTCAAAAAATAGAACACACCAGCAGTGTGAGGAGACCTGAAAGTGGCACATGGCAGAGTGTGGCGATGGAGACAGCAGCAATGGAGGCCGTACAGGGACCCATGACAGACTCTGGACCTTCAAGCAGCAGCATGAGGAGGCGGTATAAGGGGGCCCATGGCAGATATAGGGGCCTGGCAGCAGCTATGGGAGGCCCGTAATCTGCCACACCCTATGTCAAAAAATGGAACACACCAGTCATGTGAGGAGACCTGAAAGTGGCACATGGCAGAGTGTGGCGATGGAGACAGCAGCAATGGGAGGCCGTACAGGGACCCATGACAGACTCTGGACTTGGCAGCAGCATGAGGGCGGTATATAGGGGCCCATGGCAGATTAGGGGCCTGGCAGCAGCTATGGGAGGCCCGTAATCTGCCAGCACCCTATGTCAAAAAAATAGAACACACCAGCAGTGTGTGAGGAGACCTGAAAGTGGCACATGGCAGAGTGTGGGATGGAGACAGCAGCAATGGGAGGCCGTACAGGGACCCATGAGAGAACTCTGGACCCTGGCAGCAGCATGAGGGGCGGTATATAGGGGCCCATGCTGATTAGGGCCTGGCAGCAGCTATGGTAGGCCCATAATCTGCCAGCACCCATGTCAAAAAAATTCAACACAGCAGACCAGCCAGTGTGTGAGGAGACCTGAAAGTGGCACATGGCATGAGAGACTGTGGACCTGGCAGCAGCATGAGGAGGCGGTATATGGGGCCCACTGGCAGATTAGGGGCCTGGCAGCAAGCTATGGGAGGCCCGTAATCTGCCAGCACCCTATGTCAAAAAATTCAACACACCAGCAGTGTGTGAGGAGACTGAAAGTGGCACATGGCAGAGTGTGGCGATTGAGACAGCAGCAATGGGAGGCCGTACAGGGACCCATGAGAGACTCCTGGACCTGGCAGCAGCATGAGGATGCGGTATACGGGGCCCATGGCAGATTAGGGGCCTGGCAGCAGCTATGGAGGCCCGTAATCTGCCAGCACCCTATGTCAAAATGAATTCAACACACCAGCAGTGTGTGTGAGGAGACCTGAAAGTGGCACATGGCAGAGTGTGAGGCGATGGAGACAGCAGCAATGGGAGGCCCGTACAGGGACCCCATGAGAGACTCTGGACCTGGCAGCAGCATGAGGAGGCGGTATATACGGGGCCCCATGGCAGATTAGGGGCCTGGCAGCAGTATATGGGAGGCCCGTAATCTGCCAGCACCCTATGTCAAAAAATGACCCAACACACCAGCACGTGTGTGAGGAGACTCCTGAAAGTGGCTCATGGCAGAGTGTGGCGATGGAGACAGCAGCAATGGGAGGCCGTACAGGGACCATGACAGACTCTGGACTTGGCAGCAGCATGAGGAGGCGGTATAGAGGGCCCATGGCAGATTGGGGGCCTGGCAGCAGCTATGGGAGGCCCGTAAATCTGCCAGCACCCATTTGTCAAAAAATTCAACACACCAGCAGTGTGTGAGGAGACCTGAAAGTCGGCACATGGCATGAGACAGAATGGTGTGGACCATGGCAGCAGCATGAGGAGGTGGTACAGGGGCCCATGGCAGATTACGGGCCTGGCAGCAGCAATGGGAGGCCAGTAAATCTGCCAGCACCCTATGACAAAAAATGGAACACCACACCAGCAGTGTGAGGAGACCTGAAAGTGGCAACATAGCAGAGTGTGGCGATGGAGACAAGCAGCAATGGGAGGCCAGTACAGGGACCCATAGACAGACTCTGGACTTGGCAGCAGCATGAGGAGGCGTATAGGGGCCCATGGCAGATTAGGGGCCTGGCAGCAGCTGATGGGAGTCCCGTAATCTGCCAGCACCCTATGTCGAAAAAATTCAACACACGAACACCAGCAGTGTGAGGAGACCTGAAAGAGGCACATGGCAGAGTGTGGCGATGGAGACAGCAGCAATGGGAGTGCCGTACAGGGACCCATGACAGACTCTGGACTTGGCAGCAGCATGAGGAGTGCGTATATAGGGGCCCATGGCAGATTAGGGGCCTGGCAGCAGCTATGGGAGGGCCCGTAATCTGCCAGCACCCTATGTCAAAAAATAGAACACACACCAGCAGTGTGAGGAGACCCTGAAAGTGGCACATGGCAGAGTGTGGAGATGAGACAGCAGCAATGGGAGGCCGTACAGGGACCCATGACAGACTCTGGACTTGGCAGCCAGCATGAGGATGCGGTATAGGGGCCCATGGCAGATTAGGGGCCTGGCAGCAGCTATGGGAGGCCCGTAATCTGCCAGCACCCTATGTCAAAAAATGGAACACACCAGCAGTGTGAGGAGACCTGAAAGTGGCACACGTGGCAGAGTGTGCGATGGAGACAGCAGCAATGGGAGGCCGTACAGGGACCATGACAGACTCTGGACTTGGCAGCCAGCATGAGGAGGCGGTATATAGGCCCATGGCAGATTAGGGGCCTGGCAGCAGCTATGGGAGGCCCGAATCTCCAGCACCCTAAAATGTCAAAAAATAGAACACACCAGCAGTGTGTGAGGAGACCTGAAAGTGGCACATGGCAGAGTGTGGGGATGGAGACAAAAATACAAAACCAACACCCCAGCAGCAATGGGGATGCCGTACAGGGGACCATGGAGAGCACTGATACCTGGCAGCAGCATGAGTTAGGCTGTAATATAGGGGGCCCATGGCAGATAGGGGCCTGGCAGCAGCTATAACCAGAGACCATAACTCTGCCCAGCACCCTATGTCAAAAAATTCCCAACACACCAGCATGTGTGAGGGAAGACCTGAAAGTGGCACCAATGGCACATGAGAGACTGTGGACCTCTGGCCAAGACAGCATGAGGAGGCGGTATAGGGGCCCATGGCAGATTAGGGGCCTGGCAGCAGCTATGGGAGGCCCGTACTCTGCCAGCAACCTTATGTCAAAAAATTCAACACACCAGCAGTGTGTGAGGAGCACCTGAAAGGTGGCACATTGGGCAGAGTGTGGCGATGGGAGACAACCCCCCCCAGCAGCAATGGGGAGGCCGTACAGGGACCCATGAGAGACTTTCTGGACCCTGGCAGTCACGGGTAAAAAAATAATGAGGAGGCGTACAGGGGCCCATGGCAGATTAAGGCCTGGCAAGCAAGCAATGAGGATGCCCGTAATCTGCCAGCACCCTATGACAAAATGGAAGCCCTGGGCTTGTGGCAAGGGCAGAACCGACGTTATCTTTAATCACGGTTTCCCAGGGCCGCCCCCCCGGGCCCCCACCCACAACCGAATGGCGACGCTGCATATGGCTAGACCGCAACGCTGTAGTCCCAACATGGGCCCAACCTGGCCACGCTTTAGACTTCTGGCCACATAGTCGACATACGGCTACGTTTACTCCTACTGGCGCTTGACGAAAAATTGCCACAAAAAGCCGAGTAGGAAAATTTTCCCCCCTACTCCTCACTGGCTGACTGCTACTTCCTCCATGCACACGGGAAACCCCTACTGGCCGTGGTGGGAGGGTGCAGTGGACTGGTGCTCTACTCCCCTGGCCGTTTTCCTCCACGACACTTGGCCCCG